GATCTTTTTTAACTTTGTTTTTCTTTTCTTTTTTCTTTTTAATTTTTTTTATATTTTATTTATTTTTAGAGAGACGGGAAGAGAGGAAGAAAGAGAGGGAGCGAAACATCAGTGTATGGTTGCCTCTCACACACCCCTTACTGGGGAGCTGGCCTGCAACCCAGACATGTGCTCTGACTGGGAATTAACTTTGTTTTTCAATCCTGGATTTTTATTGATTTGTTTATTCTTGTGCAAGGCACAGAGCAGGAAAAAGGACGACCACGCGTGGTCCTTGAGTCAGATGGGGACCCATGGACCGGCAGACAGAGGCAGGAGGCGGGTTGGGCCTGCACATGGGAGGCACCCTGAAGCCTCCCAGGAAGGTCTGGGAAGAGCTCACCTGGAAATCTAGAGGCTGAAGAGATGCTCACAAGAGCACAAGGAGAGAAAACCCAGTGGACACTAGAGGGGGAGTGCTTGAGGAAGGCAACAAGGAGCAGGAGAGATGTCAGCCAGTGCAGCCTCAGGGCGGCATCAGCCTGGAGCCCAGAGGAGCGGCCTCCGGAGGTATCAACAAGCACACGAGCATGAGGATTACACGAATAACTGAGTAAAGAATATGATGGGGAGGATAAGGAGCTCAGAAAGGTGCAGAAAAAATGCAGCGTGTTCAGAGAAGCTGGAGACAGTGGCGCGGAGGCGAAGCATGGCTGGGTGTGATGAGGAAGGGGACAGGCTGTGAGCTCGCTTACCAGCAGCTCTAGGAGCAGTGAGAGCGTCGGTGGGACGTAAGGAGGCAGAGCTGTGTTTGGGAGGGTGGCCCGGGCCACTCAGCAAAAGCGTGTCTGGGCATGTCCGCTAACTGTCCCATGCTTGAAGGAAGGGAGGCTGTTCATGAAGCAAGAGAGACTATTGATAACCCGCCAGAAGGTCTTGTCACTTCAGATGCTTAAAGAGGGTGAAGCCAATGGAGAAACATAGATTAATGTTACCACTTAGGAGAAGATTTTCAAATTTACCCTGTGCAGCTTTGGTCAGAGCTGAGGGCTCAAACAGTTTTTAAATCTCCATAAACGGGCCTCCCATCCGGCTCTTGACAGGTAGGCACCTGCAGGTGGGCCTGAAGAGGGCAATTTGATGAAAATGAAAGAGAGGAAGGAAAGAAAGGACAAAGAAGGAGAGACAGGGCCAGCTCGGGCAGTTGCCACGTGGGGTCCACAGGAAGCGCTGTGGCGAGGACAGCAAAGGCCTGAGCTTTAAGGAGAGAAGTCGGGTCACCCCGAGAGAAAACGGTCTCTGCCAAGATGAAGAGAACAGACCAGAAGATGCATATGCTTCCCTTAGTCTTAATATTAGAGTTTGAAATGTGAAATTTGAAACAGTGGTAGATAAATGAGGGGTAGGAATATGGAAAATATAGGAAGGTAAGCACAGAATTTATATTTTAAGTATGATTTCACAGTTGATACCACATTTGTCTTTGTGAATTTGATTCTACAATAGATGGGTATGTGTATGTCACGTGTGTGTGGTGCATGTGCGCGTGGTGCATGCATACCTGGCGTGTGTTTGTGTGCACACTTTGTGTGCATGTCCCTGTTCAGCTGTGGCAGTGCAGAGCTCCGGGTGGAAGTGGGCGGCCCCTCCTGCTCCCTGCCGCAGCCTTACCTCCTGAGCCCCCCACCATCTCCTCTGCCTGGTCCTCCCTCAGGGAAAGAGGTGGGTGTCCAGCAGCCCTGCCCTGCATCCTGCCCACACCGAGGCTACCAGTGCCTTCTCCCCAACAGACGGGCCCTTATCCAGGAGCAGACTCAGCAAAAATGGGTGGATCCAAAGTTCAGTGGCCCTCAAGGAGCCAACACGGCCCTGGCTGGACCCCTCCCCAAGGAAGCAAAGGATTGCGTTCTCCTTTGGGCCACTGCGTGGCTGGGGAAGGGCCGCAGCGTGTCCCGCTCTCTTGGGCTCAGAGCGTGGCCATGCCTTTGTGGCACATGGCTTCCTTTCACACTGTTCACACTGGCTTCAGGCAGCCACCAGCCCCTTACAAGCATATCAGTACAAACAGGTTACTCCCTTACAGTTAAGCCTTAGCATTGCAAGTTCAACCACAGCTTTACATCATTGTACTTATCCAGGGCCTTTGACTAGCATAGGAGGAGCCGGGGGATCAAAGGCAGAAAGCCTCGGGATGAGGTAGTGCCGTGTGGAGCGCCTGGGCCCCACCAGGAATTTGTCCAGGAAGCTTCGGTTCTAGGGCTGGTCTTCCCCCTCATCTCCCAGCCCCAGTCACTGCTGGTCGGGTGGCTCCCCCAGCCTCTGTTCTTGTCGCATCACTGGCCCAGCACACCAGTTTCTTTAAGGCTCTCTCAGGCCCTTGGGACCCTCAGGGGCTGGAACTCACCCTTAAATCTCATTCCAGCCCCGGCTGATGTGGCTCAGTGGATTGTAAACCAAAGGGTCACCAGTTTGATTCCCAGTGACAGCACATGCCTGGGTTGTGGGCTAGGTCCCGAGTTGGGGGCATGCGAGGGGCAACCAGTTGATGTGTCTCTTGCATATCGACGTTTCTCTCCCTCCCTTTGCATTTCTCTAAAAATAAATAAAATCCTTCAAAAAAAAAAATCTCATTCCAGCTGAGGCCTCATCTCTCCCCGCTGCCCCCTCACAGATCTACGCCTCTGCCTCCAGCTGGGGTCCTCCAGGCCCCTCCTCCCTGGCGAGCTGTGCGGCCCTCCTGTGCCTGTGCCAGCCCATACCCCGTATCAGCCTGAAGGCTGGGACCTCTTGGATGGATCCCACTCCTCTAAACCTCACCTCTAACGAGTAACCAAGATCGTCTGTGTTTCTCTTTAAATACCTCATGAACTCTTCTTGGTCTCTGCGGCCTCCTGCTCAAAGCTCTCACCTCTTGGTTGAAGAAGCCGTAGTGGCCCTAGCTCATCTCCCTCAAGCAGTGTCCTCCCAAACATCCAGGTGCCACGCCACCAGCATACGCCCCTGAGGCCAGGACCTTTGTGTCGGAGCTGATGTGCAGGCCAGCCCAGCGGTCTCCACAGCACCAGCAGGTCATGGAGGGCTCCTGCGGCAAAGCCCTCACAGGCCCACCGCCCAAGTGCCCCTCTCCCGTGGTCTGGTTTGCTGCTCAGACACCATTCCTCCCCGGTGTCCCCTCCGTGTCACCCCCTGTGCCTGGAACACTTCTACCACGTCCGCTCCTTCCCCCAGGTGCTGCCTATTAACTTTAAAAGGAATTCTGGCAAGGGCGCCAAGTCTCCGAAGTGCAGCGGTGGCTTTCTAACATTTTGTTTGTGTATCTCCTAAAGGAGCTTTGGAAAAACATGTATCTAATCTTTTAAACATTTTAATGTTCAAAAATAAAATATTTCTTAAAATTAAATATAGTTACTTTGTTAATGTGAGGTAGAAAAAATAAACAAGGTGAAAGATGAGAACTAATTATTAGGAATAAATATCTGATGACATGATTTACTAAAACAGATTTTACCCAACCCATTAAACAAGGCACAGCAAATGCAAAAGTCATTCTGGAAAACTTATATCCATGGGTATCTTTGAAAATGTTTTCATAATTTTGGAAAAATTCTTTAGATTTTTAAAAGTTACATGAGTTGTGAATACTCTTCAGGTCTGAATTCAGAAGATCTCACTCAGGCCACTTCCCCCTCATGACCTGGGACGGAGGCGTCCAGGCCGAGGGCTCAGGGAGGCTGTGCCCAGCAGTGCCCACCAGGGCGAGGGAGGCCGTGCCCCAGCCCCGCACAGCCTGCTGAGGGAGGCGAGGGCTGTGTGTTTTTCTTCTGTGAGGTGGGGAGAGTGTTGTGAATGCAGTCACGTTCTCAGGCAGTTTTAGAAGATACAGAATTTGAGGATCTGGAAATTCATTTTCTTAAAGCTCCCAGCATGCTCCCTGGAAAGCAGTCTGGGTGAACCGCAGACTAGAGACCACCACTGCAGAGGGCGTGAGTTCTCCTCTGCAAAGAGCTCAGGACAGGCACTGGAGCGACAGCTGGAAGTCCAATGAGACGGGAGCTTCCATGTGTGCCTGGGGTGGTGCAGGTCCCCAAAGGCCCACCTCTGACAGCCGCTCTGCCGCACACGCCCAGCTCACACACTGCGAGACCTCCCGCCTCACACCGGGCCTGTCGCACTGGGACCAGCCTCCCCCACCCGCCCTTGCTGGGTGTTCTCAAGGTCAGGGCCGTGGCTCACCCTGTGCTGGCTGACGCCGTGCTTTGCGGGTGCCATTTGCGCAAGAACTGGCCCAGCACGGAGCACAGAGCCCAAAAACACTCCACGGCAACACAGGAGGCAAACGTCCCCTGGCTCTGGTCTGGTGGCTGGCTCTACCGTGTGAGAGCATTTGTTCCAGGTTGGTCCCGCGCCATATCAGGGTGATGTCCCCTCCCCAGCGTATAATTATGCCTCAGAGCTTCTTCCCGAGGATGCAGGAGTTGGAGGGGAAGGGGCTTGTTTACACCCTTGAAGACAGATCTGGGTCCTCCCCTGGGGTGACCCCCCATGGCTTTTTTTAAACAACTGTATTGAGGTAATTCACATACCATACAAGCCACCTATTTAAAATGTGCGATTCAGTGGTTTTTAGCACCTTCAGAGTTGTGCAACCATTACCACAGTCAACATTGCCCTGTTGACTTTTAACCTAACTGCCAAATGCAAGAATTATTTAACTAATTAAAAAGAAGCACTCCCAAGACTAAAGTAACCAACAGTAGAAGAATCCAGTGAGAATATTTTACAGGAATCCAATCCTGCAGTAACTTTTAGCCCATCAGTCCGACCATCTTCTTTTACCCTGAAATGTGTCTACGACCTTCCTGTGGCAGCCCGTTGCTGCTGGGAGCTGGCGTGGAGGGCAGGGGAGCAGGAAGGACTCCCTTTAATCCAGAGCTGGGCACGACAGTCCCAGCCTGGATTCGTGGCAGCTCCAGGCTGGGACACTGGCCTGTCACTCACGGGTCTTTGCCTTCTTTCACCAGGTGTTCCACTGTGTCCACTTTGAGTGTCCGGAGCAGCAGAGCAGCCAGAAAGAGGAAAACAGCGAGGAATCAGGGGCAGGGGACACCGGCCCGGCCGGTCAGCAGCTGGAGCCCCGCGCCCTGCAGGCCCCCAGCGGCAGCTCGCTGCCCTCCAGCCCAGGCGCCAACTCTCGCTCATCCAGCCGGCAGCACCAATAAAGGGGGCGCTGATGTGCAGTGACCCGGTGGGCCCAGATGGCAGCAGGAACTGGTGTCCTCTTGAGCAGGGATCTCTGTTGGCGGCCCCTCCCCCCTTCCAGGCAGGAGCAGACCTGGCTGCAAACGCAGACACAGGTTTGCTCCCAAGGACAGGAAGGGGCTGCTTTGTTCTCCTCAATTTGTTCAAATCAGGCTGGTCTCCAGGGGGAGAAAATGGGTCTTCAATCTTCATCAGTCTGCCATTAACACCCTACCTCTCTCATCTAACCCAGGCAAGGGCACAAAGGAAGCAACAGACAGGCGTGTCGGGAGAAGAAACGGCGTGTGACTCTTGAATGGAGGAGAACGGACCGGGCTTTAGTACCTTTAGGAAATGGGTTTCCACATCGCCCTGGCAACCAAATGATTTTTTATTTCTTTTAGTTATTCTCCATTTGCTGAATCATGTGTGTTCCAGATCTTTTTGAAATGCTCAAACAGCAAATCACTTGTTTTAATCCCTTTGACGCTGTAACTTTCCTTCCTTAGTTTTGAGAGGGGTGGAGCGAGAGGCATGTGCCTAGCTCCTAAGTGCGGCACACGTGCAGCTCATTGTGACAGGAAAACTCTTTTGAGGAAGTTCAACAAAACACACAACCTGTGGACACTGGAGTTAATAAGCACTCGAACGCTGGGTTATTGACCTGTCCTTCCTGAAGTGTATCCAGCCTTTGGGAGGTTGACAAGGAAATTATTATTATGCCACCTGCTAATTTAATGTTCAGAAATCTGTGTGTATAAACATGCACCAGCTCTCAGTTGTGCTGGACCTGTCCTCAAATCGCTAGTTTGGCCCAGGGCAGGCAGGGAGGCCGGCTAGTAGTGATAGGAATACAAATCCAGCCTTTGCATGCGGTGCAGTGTTCGCTGGTTGCCATGTTTGTTCCCCAGATCCCAATACTCAACCAGGGATTGAAGAAAAAGCAGTTCTAAGATGCTTTCCTCCTAATCTTCACTGAAATGATCCCATCTGACTGCCCAGCTTCACCTGGCACTGTTGACCCTCTTCCTTAGTCACTCCCATTCCTTTGTCCCTTTGTAACTATCAGATTCCTGCTGCTGTTTGCACATCTGCAGAGTTCTCCCTTTGCTGGCTGGCGGTCAGCTCCACGCCCTGTGACCTGCTCAGAGCGGGGCTGGGGCTTCCAGGGGGTCGTTCCCAGTGTCGTAAAGACACATTGATTGTGGGTATACAAAGAGCAATGGGATAACTAACTTCTTTCCTCATGTAGCTGAGTTCTGGGTGACGACTGAAATAGGGCAGCATCGTACGCAGGACTCGCCAGCAGCCTGTCTCCGGTGTGAGTGCAGGTGGGAGGAAAAGCCACGGGGCTCCCCATCTCCCTGCCCCCTCACTCTCTGATCCCCACCCACCTGCCCTTGCGTGGGATGAGCAGGACCCCTGAGAGTGCCAGGCATTTGAAAACTGGAGGAGGCTCCTGTAGCCAGTGGTGATGCTGCCCGCTCGCGGCGGGTGGCCGCCCTCCGTCAGCCTCCAGCCCCAGGCCGCCTGCCCATTAGCTGGGGAATTCCTGTCCACTCAGCACTCCTTCCAGCCGCGCGCCGTCACTGAGCAGCCGGAGAGGTCAGAGCAAGGGCGCAGTGCAAATGCTTTGAAAGGGTCACCTACTGAAGGGCTTGTATTTAAACTCTGACGTCCCCTGTTCAGAGAGGAGCCCCGGGCTCAGAGGCCACCCTGTGGGCGGGGCTGTGGGGTGGGCTGGTGATGGGTCTGTCAGTTCTGCCCACGCGGCACACCTCACCGTCCCAGGCCAGGTACTAAATGCCACCCGGCCACTCGGCCTCGCATCCGAAGGGCAACAGACTGCGTCAGAAGCCTCAGCTCTAGACCCACATCAGTGCCCTCCCCACCAGGCCCACCTCCTCCCCGTCTCCTGGGAATTTCCTTTGGAGTTTGCACCTTCCAGATCCCTGCCCTAGGTCTGTCTTGAGAGAACAGAGTTTGTCTCCCTCCCCCTCTCCTCCTGCACTTCAGGTATGTGTGTTACTGGGTAAGAGGAAGGAAGGATGACTGAGTCTGATAACATGACAGCAGCAGAGGCGCTATGCACCGAGGTTCCACTTTGACCTTCCCCGAAGCCACCAGCTTGCCTCCCGCAGGTCCCCTGGCCCACGCTGACAAAGGCCAGCGAATCCTGCTCTGGCTGCCTCCTGGGACCAGGCTCGGGGCTTTGCCTTCCCTGATGGGCCTTCTGATGTGGGAGCAGGAGGGGTTCTTTCTGTGCACTGGCTGGGCCAGGGCCTGCTGGTCGGGGCCGGAGACCCCACTCACGCTGTGTCACAGCAGACAGACTTAGACTGGGGCCTGGATTTTCAGGGCATGAGGGATGAGTGGGGAACCGTGGAAAGTCCCCAGACGACTGGCTCTCTCCAGAACCCTGGCTGAGCCTGCGGAGGACTTGTCCCCTGTGGCCAACTGGACCAAAATGTCCTGAAGCCGTAAAGAGGCCAAGGGAGCTAACTGGGGCTGCGGATGACAAGATGGGCCGGCACGCAGCTGAAGGTGTCTCCAGACGCTCGGAGCCCTCAGCCCAGCGGAGGTGGGTTCTGTCCGCTGGCAGCGGGAAGGTGCGGCTCCGCCTCTGTGAGGGCACCGCCTGGGTGGTGTGCGGTTTGAGGAAAGGTCAGGCGAAGCTGGACCCGCAGCAGAGGTGGACAGAGGGATGCTTGCGACCTCTGGCCTTTTATTGTGATGTTTGTCAATCACAAACTAAAACAACAGCTTTGTAACCACCACCCAGGTCAAGAAATAGCTCACTGCCAGAACCCGCTGCTCTTCATTTCACATCTTTTGTTTGCTTGTTTTTTAGGAGTAAAAAGCAAACTTCATTAGGGATTTTGGGGAAAGCTTTCAAAATCGCCTTCTGGCAGCTTCTTGGAGGGCCGGTTGGGGCAGCCCTGAGCGTGCTGGGCGGGGCGTGCGTGCTGGGCGGGGCCTGTGCCCAACGAGACTGGCGCCCTGGTCGAGGTAGCCTTAAAGGCTGCCGACCTGGGACAGGTGTAATAGTATAACACACAACCATCCATACACACGCTTGTTTTTCCGTATTATCAGTCCTTTTTCTGTTTTCTGATTTTAGAGCCATGAGCCCAGGCTCTTAAAATTGTCACTTTTTAAATCTTATTTAATGACAAATACATTAAAGTGTTTTATTCCTAGAAGAATTGGGAAAAGAAATTATTTTCAGCAACAGTGGGATGTGTTTGTTAGACTGATTCTTCGGCAAAAAAATAAAATGAGTTTTTGAATTGTGCGAAAAATTGCTCAGTAGTTATGCTGTCGCCCCAATTGTTAAACTGCTGTGCAGACAGCTCCAACCCAGTCAACTTCACCTTGTTTTTAATTTAGAAGATAACAAAATTGGAATTGCTTATCCTTTCCAGAGACGCAGGGGGAAAAGGGAGGTATAATCTGTGATAAAAAGCAGAGCATCCTGTGTGTTGAAGCCACTTGGTAATAAAGAGGGATAGTTTCCCGTTGCGGACTTCAATTAAGAACCTCCCTTTGGACAGAATAGAAAAGTGTCAAAGGGTAAAGGGAAAATTAAATTTGTCTCCTTCCAGGAGTTTTTCTTCATTAGTGTTTGCTTCTCCGTGTTTTCGGTGTAACGCTGCCTTGTGTGTGTGTGGCGTGTCCCTCCACATTGCGGAGGTGGCCTGGGGCCTGGCGGCTGCCTGTGGCCGTGGCTGCCGCAGGCCGGGCCAGGCTCCATTTATTTTTGCAGCTGCAGCCATCGATTCTGTGTGCTTGTCCTGACAGCAGCTCCAGCAGGAGTTCAGTGCTCATTAGTGGCCCTAGAAATTTAAAATGCAGTTCATGGTTCTGTACCACCATGGTTTTTATTATTATAATATTAAATTAGAAGTCCTCCTGGTGCCTGTTGTTTGTTCAGGAGTTTGTGGCAAAAGGGGAAGGGGATGATTTAGACAGCACACAGGGCAACCTGAATGCTTTTGTTTCTCCTCGGAGTTGACCCCATCATACCTGGTTACTGGACAGGATTCTGAGGCCCTGGAGGTATGACAATGCATGGAAAAGGTGATGAGAAGGGATTGGCTGGAGGGTGGCCCAGCTCCCTGTGTGCCGCAGCTGGGCCCCTCCATGTACCAGAGGAGGGAGGACGGGGGATTCTGCCGGCTTCCGTGGGACTGGCTGACTGTGAGCCCAGACACGCCCCCAACCCCAGGCAGGACCTTGTGCTGGACTGATGGGGGCTGGGACCTGCCTCCACTGGGGAAGTAGGGAGCAGGCACACAGGGGGGCGGATGAGTTCCGCACAGTATACACTTTTTAGAATAGAACTGGCCTTTTTTAAGTTACTCATTTAAAAATTATCAAAGAAATAATGCTCATGGAATAATGTTTCAACCTAGCAGGAGGAGCAAGGGTGCCCTCCCCTTTGTCTGCCTCGGAGTCACCCTTGCCCGGGGCCTGGCCATCTGTTTCCTCAGCAACTGGCTCACTGAGCTGGGCGGCCTCTTCCCCACAAGCCAGACTCAGGGGGCCTCCCACCCTATTGGCTCAGTTTCTTTCTTTTTTAAGAACTGAAATACTCCCCCACAGGCCTCGCGGCCTAAAGACTCACAATCATCCACCTGTAATTTATGGTAAGTGTCTTGAGTATTTACCATTTGTATCCTGAGTATTTATAGCCCTGAGCCGAGGAGGTGAGGAGGAGGCCCACACCTGTCCCCTGCTGGATGCTGGCAGGGACAGCTCAAGTGCCCCCCTGGGGAGCCCGTGTGCAGTGGCTCCACCCCACCTGGAGGAAAGCCGGGAAGGGGAGGCCCTGGGCCCCCTGGAGAAGGAGGTGTGGACGGAGGTGGGCAGCAGGTCTGAGAGGCCTTCAGGGTAGGGATCTGGGCCCTGGACACCCTGGGAAGGCGGGTGACGCTGACGATTACCGTCTGTCCATCCACCACCCGATAGCCTCCTCCTGCCCTGTGAGTCCCAGGGGCGGGGCACTCCTGAGCAGGGTTGGGGTGGACAGGACCAGTCTGTCCGAGGTCACCATGCCCACCCCAGGGGGTGTGGCCTCAGCTTTCAGTGCAGGGTGCAGGCTGGTCCTCCCCGTGGCTCCTTGTAGCTCCGGTTTCCCAAGTTTGCACCCTGTCCAACATCTTCTTGCATCCAGGGCGCCATGGTGTGTGTGGGATGGGGGTGGGGGTACCCTTGTAAACTGGCCCCAGGCAACGGGGTCTTCCTGGCCCCTATTTAGCGGCCCCACATCAATGGGACAGGGTACTGCCTGTGAGATCTGACAAGAGGACTGGCTGGGGACACAGAGTCGGCCTATCGGGGCGGCCTATCGGGGCGGCCTCTTCCGGCCTCTTCCCCCGAGAGGGCAGCTCCAATGGTCAGAGCTCCTCCCTCCAGAGGCGACCCAAGGAGTGGCCAGGAGCCACAACCCCCGCGCATCCCCCAGGTCCGAAGGCCACGCCCCCACCCCAGCACCTGGAAAAGCCAGAGGACAGCGAGGCTTGAGGCTCAGCCTCTGGACTGAGGTGTGGGGAGGGGTGAGAGGAGTGCCTCAGGGTGACAGGGGTCCAGGCGCTACAATTATCGCCCTGTGCATACCCTGAATTCACCAGAGAATGTGACCTCCTCTGCCTTTGGGGTCTCTGGGCCTGAAAGGGCGGGGGTGGGTGGGGGGGTGGCACGCTGGGCCTGCTCTGGGAGCGGCCCCTCTAAGCCACCTGTGAAGGGCAACCCTGAGAGTTCTGCCCAAAATTCTAAAGCAGCAGGAAAGGCCGTGTTGCTGTTTGGAGCGTAAATGGGCTTGAGGGCAGGCTGTGGCTTCTTCATGTCATGGAACAATGTAAGTGAGCAAATATGCAAACTGCATGTGTTCAAAACCACCCCTAAGTTCATGCCTGTAAGACTGCTGCCGTGGGTTTCCTTTTAGAAATAAAGTGATGACTTTCTGCTCCATCTAAATTCGTGTCATCCTTCTCTCCACAGCCCGCCTGCCCCAGCCCCTCCTACGGCCGCTGGCCAGTCGGGCCTCCCTCTGCTGCCCCCTGGGTATCAGTGGGCTGTCTGCCCCTCCCCCTGCCTTCTCCCTGTGGACGGGAGGCAGACAGCATCCAGGCCAGTGTCGTCACCCTCAGTCCCCACACAGAGCCCTCTGACGTGGGCCGAGTGTCACCATATACCCATGTGGACAGTGAGGCACCGAGGGCTGCCTTGTTCTAGGACAGAAAGAGGCACCTGCCCCCTGGGACCACGGCTCTGTGGTGCTTCCCCCTCAGAGCAGAGAGGCTCCTGTGCAGTGGAGGCCCCATCACCCCTTCTCTGCCCTGCGGTGGCCTATTCAATGCCATTTTTTGGTGGCAAGAAAATTCTATTGCTTCGAAGTCCCTTGTCATTTCTGCCCTGAGCCCTGCCCCAGCTGCCATGACTTTCTTCTTCCCCGTGACCAGCGAACAAGACCCAGGCTGTGGGGGGCCCTACGCCTCCCCCCCTGCAGTTCAGGCTCTCCTTTGCCCGAGGCGCCAGCGCAGTATGATGCCCACAGCTGCACTGCGTCTGCCACCAGCTCTGCCTGCGCTGCACGGCACCGGCGTTCAATGCAGAGCATGGGAATGCTCTTGGCTCCTGCTGGGCCGGTCACATAAAACAGCTCAAATCGGCAGGTGTGTGTTACCAGTGTAGTTTCTTTTCTGGACCTAAACCCAGGACTTGATGTTTCTCTGGTGAACATCCATTTGGTGGTTTCAGGCTCACAGTGGAGCCTAATGTCAAGCAAGGCCGTTTCGAAACTTGATTTTGTCATCCTCACGTGTTTACCCTCTAAGCTCTTATTGTCAAGAACTGACAACATTTTCAGCAATGTGTTGATGTAAGTGTTGAACAAGACAAAACCAAATCCGCAGAGCACGGGGTCTGCCCTGCCACCCCCTCCCCCGTCCTGTACCCTCAGGCTGCCATTACCTCCCCCATTCTGGTCATTCACTACAGTAGGTGGAGCACCTGCCAGGCCACGCCAGGCCTGGCCAATTTCTAAGTGCTGGGGACTTAGTAAGGATCAAAGAAGACAATATAGACAAAGGTTCTGCCTTCAAGGCCCTTACGTTCCAGAGGGAGGAAGCAGGAAAGAGCAAGAGTGTGCCTGTGGCCCACGCCCTGTGTGCTCCTGTGCAGGTGAGGACTAGCAGCAGAAATGCAGGTACCAGTTGGAGGTCCAGAGAAGCTTCCCAGAGGTGACAGCTGGGCAGAGCCCTGAGAGGAAAGGATCAGACTGAGGCCCTCCAGATCCTTCCAGAAGGAGGGGGAGGGAACCAAAGGCCATGCTGGGCAGGGAGTGGGAGGCAGGGTGAGCTGGACAGGCTGATGGCTGAGGGCTCTGGAGCGTGAGGGAACTCTGGGTCCCTCTCTGCGTGCAATGGGAGCCAGGGAAAGGTTACATGGGGTTGGCTGCAGAGGAGAGAATTCCCACAGGAAGCAGGGAATGGGGAGCAGCCAAGAAGGGGGCTTGTTGCAACAATTGAGGAGAGATGGTGGCTGCCTGGATCTGGATCCGGTGAGACACAAAGCTGGTGGGGGCTGTAGGTGGGTAGGATCCACAGGATTTGTGGGCTCCATGGGGAGCCTGGATGTGAGAGGCCGGCCGAGGGTGGGTCAGTTGCTGCCATGCTGGGTTTGTTACACAGAGAAGGGAAGGCAGCTGGACCGCAGAGGAACCAGCTCACCAAACAGGAGACCCAATGAGTATTTAAGGAAAATGACACAAACTTTGCAAGGTGGTCAGGTTCACACTAGCCCATCTGAGATGGAAAAGCCCAAAAGGTCATGACTTATCTTTGTACATCAGCTGAGTAAAAAGCTAGGGATAAAAGTGCCTTAACACGGGGAGTCTCTGTTAGTGGGAAATATTCAAAATTTTATTATATGGGAACCAGAATGTGTC